CCTTTTACTACCATAAATAAAGAACTGAATAATTTTCAAACAAGCTGAATTCAGCACTTGTTGAAATTAATGGGACTATTTCTGTTGACATCTTCAATGGGCTTTGGATTGTGTAAGTGGTGTCTTGCCTGAGACCAAGCGTTATCTGTCTTCTGCCTTTCAGTTTTGCTCACCGGTTCTCCTTTCCTCTTTAATACAAAAGTATATCAAGCAGATCAGAAATATACTAAAAAAATTAATACGAAAATCATCAAAAAATTGGCAGTTTATTGAGAATGCTGTTTAATGAGTTGGGAATATATATTTTGCATACCAGGTTAAGTGTTCAGGAGGGTAATTGTTAGTTCCTTTGGGATGGATTTACTCACAGTATTTGTTCTAAACTGCCCAGGTACCAATGGCATGTGTTTATTTTTGTTACCTTGAACTCCAATCCTTCTCTACCATGAACTTCTCATCCGTATTTTAATTCAGTTTCATCCCATAAGTAGCTGTACTGCAAGGTCAGCCTGGCTGCCTTATATGCTGAATGCATTCCGGTTTAGTAGTGGACCAGATGAACCTGCTATGTTTTGTTAGAGACGCTGATGAAGTACATGTTTATTTCATATATATGTGTGTCAACTATGGGCTGGATAAAAAAAAGATTTGAAGATCATCTTCCCAGTTCAGAATTTATTTAACCCTGAATAAGAAGTGGAATGTTAAATGCAGATTAGGATGTGACTCTGTGGATGTTTGCCTATGCGTGTTGCTGAATGCCTTCACATGTTGACTCGACTTTAAATGCTGTCTTGTAAAACATATTGTAGATCATTCTGCAAGAATAAATTATAGTTGGAACTTTTACACATATAATTATATTGTTTACAAAGGTTGACTATCAGTCTGGGAGCGTATTCATCTCCTGAAAGGAGGTAACCGGGATACAACTAATGTAGCTAGAATTGCAAGGGAAAAAATAAGAACAAGCAAATGAAATGGGTAAAAAAGATAAATAAGACTATTCTTAAGAATATGGATTTATAAAATATAGTAGTAGGCTTTATTATGTTTGTGAAATTAACACCCAGACAAAATAATTTACATAATAAATGGTATGGACAATTTACAGTTACCAACCAGACAAAACCTCTTTGTTGTCAAAGCACACATCAAATGAAGAATGAGCACATATTGAAATCGCAACTTATGGGCTACTGGTACCACTTTTTACCAACGTGTCTTTCATAGCACGGCAGAGTAAGAAGTTCATTTTGACTGTGCTGTTTAATATACATTGCTTGGTTTTGCTTTGGCTGTTTTTGTTGTTTCTGTCATGAGTATAAATAAATGTGGAAGATATGATTTTTTTTTTTTTGAGACTAGTTGCTGTAGCTGAGGTTAGAAAGCAGAAGAAGGGAAACAGATTGAGGCAATAAGAAAAAATTGATCTAATTTGAAAATGTCTTCATCTCCAGACAAGAGAAACCTTGTTTCCTTCAGAGGAGGATAGATGTACTCCTACTATTGATTGTATTCACAAAACTAATGAGTGTATCTACCTCCACTACTTTGAGCATTATGGGAAATGATTGAAATAAATCGGTAATACTGTTTGTGTTTCAAGAAGCTGAAAATAACACTATGTCACTGACAGAAGTCTCTTATTTCAAAAGTGTAATGTGTTTTCATTAAAAAATAATGCTAAACTGACTTGAGCAAGATATTTTAAGTCCAGATGGTTGAAAATCAATGTAACACAGAGTAATTACAACCTAACATTAAATTTTGTAATTCTTTGGGTTCAAGTCTTAATAATACTATATTGTGATCGCAGAAGATGAACAGGGCAAACAAAAATGCGTAGTTTCTCTGAAGTGTTAAAAATTAAAAGTGTGACTGTCATTATTGCAACTCAAATATAATGGTTTGAACTGAAGACACCTATACAATAGCAGGCTGTGTATTAAAAAAAAAAAATAGTTGACAATGTTTTTTTTAGTTAATGTCTCTTCTATTATCTTTATAACTAAAAAATTTAGGCTTACTTTGCTTTCATACTGACAGAATCTTCAGCCTTGATTTCTACCTCTACTTTTAATTCTAATTCCATAATTATTTGCCAGTTAGTTGTAATCAAATCTGTACAAGAGAAGCACGATAATCATTGGCATATGATTATTAGTAGTGCTAGTGACTGTGACAACTTTATCATCTTCATGTTTGCTGTGAATTAGTGTTTTCGCTACCTTCAGCTTGGTTGTATTTCTCAAGTGGTGCAGTGGTGTATAATTCTTCTAAAACAACCTTCCAAACTTCATTATTATTCCATTCTAGACTATTTATTACCAGTGTTTCGGCATCAGTCCTGTTAACTGTTTATTTTTTCTATCCCTGTCTTCTGACTTTGATTTTGTGACTGTTAATTGTGCTCAGATCAATGATCAAAGGCCTGAACATCAATAGAGTATTATGAAACACTGCATAACTGGATGTGTATTTTTTTGTTCCTCCAGCCTTCTCACTCAAAATTATGGATACTGCAACAAAAGGCCAGAAAAAAAAAAAGGCTGCAATGTGTTCAAATGTGCCACATTCACACATGATGAACACCTATTCAGATGTGTTTCTTTTACAGTCTCATAAGCCATTAGTCTTGTACATGTGCCCGTATACATTATACAGCATCTATAGTGAAGTTGTCCACACTTGTTAATTGAATTGATATGACATACATTGTTGGACGGATCTTTCAGCCTTCGAAATTTTAATCAATGTATATCTCTACTTTTGTAGTTATCTCGATACTGGAAAGAAATGTTTTGTTAGCATTACTAGATATCAGGAATTCGTAACTGATTCAGTAGTCACTGACCATCAGTGTTTGTTAGACAGTGAGATGTGAATTTTTTGCTAAAATTTGTGAAGAAGATTTGACTCTGGCTTAAAAACATAGTATGATTTGCCAGCAAATTGTGATAAGATATTTAACAGAAAGAGCTAAAATGTTTCAAAACCGAAATCATTGTGTACTGAACTATTACCTTAAAGACTATGCTTGTCATATTGGCTAGTTTGAGAGAGATTTGTAGTGAATACCAGAAAATACTGTTACTTTCTGCTTCTTTATTAGTGTAGCCAGCATGATATAGGTGACTGACAGGGACTCCTGCAAGTTTGGAATGAAGGTGGAAGACAAAATACCATTTGGTTACAGGACCCTCACAATTTTTTTTCCCAAGCATTCTGTCTCCTCCGGGATAAAAACACTGTATTGGTCCTATCTTTTCAGCAAAGTTCTATAAATTCATGATTACTGGTCTTCTAGTTTCAGTCTAACACTGCTAACTGCAAAACGCTGCAGTTTTATAGAACTGGGTACAAAGCTTTCAAGAATTAAAAATGAAAGGCAACAAGTTGGAAATGCATTATACCTCCATTCGTACTCCAGTGAAGAAAAAACTGAGAAAATTTAATCCAAGTTCCAAATAGAAAATATATAAATAAGTAAAGAAATGCAGAAAGACCATCAGAGCTGTTAGAGCTCTTCTGTGGAATGCACAAGTCAGGTAATGCATCTTACATAATTTAAAATACTGGACCCTTGAGCAAGACACTGTGAAAATTCACACCTTGTGTTCTAAAGAAATGTAAGGTAAATAGGAAAACATACTGCTGAGAAAGATATATGAAACAAGACAGCTGGTGATCCTTCCTTACTGTAATGGACTTTAAGGACAACCAATAGTATTGGTCACTCTTACTAGAAAAACAATATACAAACAACACCTATGTAAGAAAATAGATATTTTTGTGTATGTATGTGTGCGTGTCTTTCTAGATATGTCTGTACACAATTTTATCTTTACCTATGTACTGTATCCTTCCATGAAGACTGGCCATTATTATTATTATTATTATTATTATTATGTACTGTATTCTGAGGTTATAAAACCCAGTGCAGAACTTTTACATGGAATACATTGTTATAGTGTTGTTGTCTGTGCCCAAAGCTTTTAATTTGTTTCTTTTAAAACTTGCAATTCCTTTTTTCTGCTACATTGAAAAACTGAAGAGACCTTTGGCTCTTCCAGACAATCATATTCAAAATTGTAGTTGGTTTTTTTTTTAAATTTTTTTTTTAGATTTCCTTTTTTATAAGGTCAGCTTAATCATTATTTTACATTGTCTGAATATGTCTCCACTTTACAATACTTATCACCCAGCAGCACAATCGTGAGTTTTCTGGTTCTAAATCAAGAAAGTGGAAAATAAGCTGACCTATATCCTAGGAAATATTAGCTAATAAATAAATAAAAGAAAAGAGGTATGACACCAACTGAAAATATAGCAGAGACAAAAAGTCAAGATTGAATGAAAATTGTTAATAGCGCATGAAAAAAAATAAAAAGGAAAAATTATGGATACTTGACAAATGAAAAAAAACACCAGATTTTTGTTGTTTAGTGAAGAGGAAGAAAATGAGGTGTTCATCAAACTAAAATTGTCTGCTCATTTTTTCATCCTTTTTTTTAATCATCTTTTCTCAGTTTAATGAAGGAAAACACCTTAAATTTAACACAGTTGGAACTCATCCCTTGTGCTTCACTCTAATTACTTTCTGTGTAGAAGCCAATCAGGAGACTTAAATGGTCTCATAGAGATACCAGTGAAGGTATCCAGATGGTGACATCTGTTCCAAACTGCTACTAAAATTTTGGCACTGCAGCTGTTTTTAAACAATCTATATATTTTATCTGGTATGTAAGTTATATGTAGTTTTATATTTGTATAATAAGAACATTTTTATTATGCAATCTAAGATCGGGAGTTTGGATATTAACACTACATGACATTTTATGTCTGACTAGTACAAAAATAAGCCAGTCCTAATAGTAATCTTAAATATGTGATTGGCAGCAAGTTTTTAGTGAGAAGTAATGTTCAAGTTGCAGAGTAAAGACAAAAAATAGTATGGAAAGTATCTCTTTTAACTGTAGGTTTCACTGCTGTTTTAGCCGGTTGACATTACACAAGAATGAAAGTTTGAGTCCCAGGAAACGTCAGCACTCAGATACTGAATCCAAACTGCAAGACAAGAGGTAGGCTTTCAAAGTAAACATAGTTTCTTAACTAGTTTACATTCCTTTCTCAGATACCCCCTCTGATTTTGAAATTCCCTGCTCAAATAATTCTGGGTTAAGAAAAAATTGCATTACTCGAGACCTACACATTGTGGTGATTTGCATTTAGTGTTCTTCCTCTAAAGAATACGTTCTCAAACCTCTTACATTTCATTCTCCATGTAGTATCCGAGTACCTCACAATCTTTGAGATATTTACTCTCATAACCCTAAGGGGAAATGGGTTTGTACAGAAAGCCATGTGACCTCTGAGGTTTGTAGAAAAGTCAATGGAAAAGAGTGAGCCTGAACCTTTATTCCCTTACATTCAAGTCAGTGTTAAATGAACTTTCTTTCCACACTTTACAAAGACTTACTTTGATAATAAATTATTCTCTAGTTCAGCCCTTATGTTGTTTAAAAATAATTTTATCTTGGGTGTTTTTCCATTGGAAGAAACAATGTAATTGCTTAGAAACAACACTTCTAAAATCATGCATTGATGGATTATGTATAAGGTGTCCAGATGGTAATAGCTTTGTATATTGTTTTCGGCTCCTCTGAAAAATTTAAGAAGAATCCAGAAAAAAATCTAAAAGATTTCTCATTGAAGTAAAGAAAAGTCATGCCATTTGTTTTAGTGGATATTATACAAAATACGTAGTGCATTATGAATTGTTTTGAAGACAAAATTGTGAGGTCTAAACCAGGTCATTTATCATTGGCTAAGATGTATTTGACTTATGAAGTTAAGTGATACATAAAAGTGAAATTGTGAACCTTTTAAGCATTTAGCTGGCTAGAAAATGCTAACTTTTCTTGGGAGACGTGGAGGAGAGCGGGAAATTATTAATTTATCAAGAAAAAATGGGGGGGGGGTTACAGAAGTCTATACTATTTTCTGTGAATTTTTATAAAACATTGGATAGTTTAATTGAGTAAATGCAATCGCTGTTGAATTTTATCCCTTAAATGAGAATTCTTAACTGAGAAATAAGTTCAAATTGGCATGAAAAAACACACTCTTCAGTGGATTGAAAAGTCTCTGAAAGACCACAGTCGTAAACAATAGTTTCTAGTTGTTTGAACAACAGGATTAGAGTGGCATTTCTACATGAAACGGCAGTGTGGGTCAGTGTTACTTTAAAGAAGAGCAAACAACCCAAAGCTGAAAGCTGGTGGTATTATCATGGGCTGCACTCCACATTGTGTGGGCATAGGAAAGCTAAAGGGAATAATGTTTGAGAATATAGAGAAGAGATTCCTTCCTTACCTTTGGCGAGTTACACAATGGCAGAATGAAATAACAGGCAAAGTAAAGAAACCAAAACCATACAGAAAGACAGCTGTCTCCTGTTCTCTAAGCAAGCTTTCAGAAACCTAGATAAAGATTTTGTTATGAAATTTAATGCAATTTTACCATGTACAAGATTTTGCTATAAAAGAGGAGAAGACTAAGTTTGAATGACTCTGATATGAAAATCAGTATATTTACTATAATGAAGTTTCGCCTGATTTGAGAGTTGATTTCCATGAGGTTTGGGAGAAACGGGCCAAGTTAAGGTAGGGAGCAAGGCATCCTCAGTGTGAGTTCCCAGAAAATGCTTAAAATTAATTATGTCTATGTCTTTGTTTTCTAAAATTTTTTGATCTAAAGGCTGTTTATAAAAGATTAAAGAAAACAGTGCAAGTATCTCTAAATTACACTAAAAATGACCCCTGTCTTTCAAGCAGTGTGAATATTTGCTGCAGATCCTTTATAGATACAGAGTATATGGAAGAAAAATTATGGTGTAACAAAGTAATTCTGTTCATCCTGAATTTTATGTGCAGAAGAAACCTTTTGCTTATGCCTTTTACTGCAAAAGACTGATGTGAGTACGACAGCCAACTGATTGCACTTATATTCATAGGAAAAGGTATTACATTTTCCACCTGTTCCTCCCATTTCAATCATACACTGATTCTTCCAGTAAATTAAAAAAAAAAAAAATCTGTTGTCTATAAGCTCAGGAGGGAAACTGATTTTATCCTTAAAAGAGAGCCTTCCTTTTTTTTTTTCGTATGAGGGAAAAATAAGAGAATGTGCTGTCTTATTTGGAAGATTTCAGGTCTACAGTTGTCAAAAGAACTGCTTCTCTAATTTGACTTCATTATGAAATGTCTTAAGGCACTAGCTGTGTAGTGCCTTCACTGTTGTCTCACCCACAACTTTTGCTTCTGTACTGTGGATCTCTAAAGAAAAGGCTATGATGACTTGTAGACAATAAAGACAGTTGTTTAGCACTGAACAGAGGAGAAGTTTTCCTGCATGTTGAAAACAAAGAGGGATTCAAACACGTAACTTACGTTGTTTTCTATGGGTTGTTTTATATGTAATTTTTAAAACTTAAGGGCTGCCTTATTAATCTGTCCTGTGTTGTATCTTGCAAAGCTTTGCATGCACCTTTCTCAGAAAACATAGAATGTAGTGCAATTATACTTTTCTGGAAAGAAAGTATGTTAAATCAGTATTCATTAGAACTGACTGTTGCATTCACATTTATCTTCTAGGGCTGGTCACAGTGGAAGAGGTGGGACAGTGAGGAAGGGACGAGTGGAGGATTCATTCTTGCAGGACTTGAAAATGGGGTACTGGAACAATAACTGAGTGAACAAAATGGTATGGAAGTGAATGAAGTCTCTGTAAAGAGCTCACTGGCTCTGGCACAATAGGCTGCAAGCACAAGTTCACAGTATTCCCAGTTTGACCAATTTCTCCTCTGCCCCCAAGGCTCTGTCCCCAAAGACAAGCAGGGGAAGGAGAGAACTAATGAAGAAACTAAAGAAAGGCAGACAACAGTGTGAGTCAAAAAGAATGGCAAGAGTAGAGACAGAAGATGTAGAAACAATAGCCGCGATATGATTGCTTCAGCAGAGTAGGTACTTCATCCTATGTTTAAGTGTGTTTATATGTTACAAGGCTCTTGTACTAAGGGTAAAAAAAGAAAAATATTGGCATTGAACAAAGAGTTAAATCACACATTTTCTCTCCCTGATCAGTCAAAAAGTGTTCCTTTTGTTAGCCTTCGGGTCAGTTTCATCTGAAGTACAAAATTGATATCAAATATGTGTAACCTAGATATTTTGCTTCTGGTTAAAGAAAGTGACAGAAGACTTCAGTAATGAAAGACAGTATGTGTAGAAATTCTAAGAACTAAATTATTTGTTGTTTGCTTTATATTTTTAATCCTTATTCTGGCTTTGAAGATGCTGGATATAACAAATCAATGTGAATGTCTTTTTATGGAATTGATATTTTCCATTAACATATATAACATAATAAATCTCCAAAAAGGTCTTTTAGGTGTTCTGACATATTTTTTCCTTTAATGTATAGCCTTGCCAGAGGAGGAAAGAAGAAATATAGTCCTTTAAAAAAGATGATGTTCATATTACTCATGCAAACCAGTAATGTTAATGTTGCTGGCGGGGTCCTTAAATCAGAACACCATTCTGCTTTTTTCCAAGACCATATTTGCAAGCTGAAATAGTCATTGTTGAGATGAGTAATAATTATTACTGATATATTGTGAGAAAATCAGTGCTTGGAATAAAGAATAAGAAAAATAAACATGCGAAATGGGAACCAGAGTCTTTTGATACC